TTCTGCCTGTCTTCTTAAATATATTTCTTAAATGAAGTGTTAGTGGTCAAAGCTCTTCAGTAGTCAATGACTGCACCCTCCGCCCCCAGCACCCCAGAGCAGGGTTTAACATTGCTGGGCACATTTAAACTGACAGAGTGTTCTTAACTTTCAGTTATGGTGATTGGCGGCTCGGCATAAACCATCAGACCAACCGACCGGCAGCTGAAACACAGGACTACTATCTGAAAGTTGTACAAGTGTCACAAGCAGATAGGAAACAAAATGAACATCTCAGGAAGATGACACATCTGGCACGCATTTAAAGAGCTGGGAGAGACACCGTTACATCATCTAAAGATGCCACTAACATGACTGAGTTCAACCAGGTAAGCCCAAATGGACCTTTGACGGTGCTGTGTGAGATTAGGTACCGCTATGTAGCCACGGCTGATGGTGCATATATTTTATCTTATTTATTTTATTATTTTATTACTTTTATTTTTCTTGTGTGTTTGTCTGTGTGAGGGAACATGTGGAGGCCAGAGGTTGATTTCTTCTTCCATCAGAGAGAATCAGGTTCTCTTGATGGACTTGAAGCTTACCTATCTGGTTAGTCTGGTTGAGCTTGCCCCAGGCATCCCCCATTCCCTGCCAAGTGCTGGAATTACAGCCAGGCCACCATCCTTGCCCACCGGGTGTCCCATCCACAGCACAGCAAGTCCTTTAGCTAGTGAGCCATCTCCCTAGCCCCAGCTCTGGACTTGATCTTCCTGTCTCTTTTGGGTGCTTGGATTTTGGGTGTGAGCCACCAGGCCCGGAAGAACCAGATTGAAGAAATAGGAGTTGAAAACAGGAACGGGGGTGTGGGGGAGGGAGGGGAAGGTAGACTGGAGAGATGGCTCAGTGGTTAAGAGCACTGACTGCTCTTCCAGAGGTCCTGAGTTCAATTCCCAGCAACCACATGGTGGCTCACAACCATCTGTAGTGGGATCTGATCCCCTCTTCTGGTGTGTCTGAAGAAAGTGACAGTGTACTCACATAAATAAAGTATTAAAAATATATAAAAAATAAATAAAACAGGAACAGATGACACACAGCAGGTTGGGAACCAACTATGTCAGTGTCTTAGCTATAGTAGGTCTCTCAAATGCCCCCAGGTCTCCCACCTCCCATCCCTCCTTGTGGCCTTTGACACCTAAATAATAATACAAACTTCCGACAAGGGCAGGGTGATGTGCTGTGACCCACGTCAGGCTCAGAGGTCACTGGATTTGGCCAATACTGCTTAGCAGAATCAAGAAGGCTTGACACAAAGGTTTATTTGTTGCTTTGTTTGTTTGTTTGGTAGGGGTTTGCTGAGAGAGGATCTTACGTAGCCCAGGATGGCCCTAACTGTCTACATAGCTGAGGGTGACCCTCAACTACTGATCTCCGGTCTCTACCTCCAGAGTGCTTCGATGATAGGAAGCAAATCCCAAAAGGCACTCGGATATGGCTCTGTTTCGCTCACACAGCGTGAGAAGGTTGCTTCTGTCTAGTCCACTGGTCCCAGAAGGATGACGACAGACATGTGGAGCCCAGGTAGACCACTCCAGCCCAGGGTACGGGGACTTCTCATCACAGACAGCAGCTTCTCCATTAAAGCCCAGCTGAGGACAGAGAGTTACCTACAGGGGTCTCAGCCGATCCCAGCACATGAACAAAAGACACTGCTACATTTAGGGAGGGTTTCAGGCAGGGGAGGTTGTCAGGAACCTGGACCTGAGAGCCTGTCAAAGCAGAGGGCCAACATCTTCAGCAGGGGCTTGGGGATCAGGCTGCAAAGATGGTAATTCACACTTAACAGCAAACATGTATCAGCTAAACCTAACTCAGTCATCTGCACACTGGTGCACAGCCAGGCAGCCAGGGCTTAGAGGATGCTGCTGACTGGTGGTACAGAAGAGAAGTTCACTAAAGAGCCAGCAGCTCCCAAGCAGAGTTTGGAGGACACACGATGGTTTTCTAGACATAGTCTGTCCCTCTCCAGCCAGCATCTGTGAAAATCTACTGGCTCTTTAAAAGTTTACTTTAGTCAGACATGGTGGCTCACACCTTTAATCCCAGGTCTGGAGAGGCAGAGGCAGGCAGATCCACATGGTGAGACCTTGTTTCCAAACAAAATGAAACAAGTTTTTTACAGGAGTGTGTGAGTGTGTATACACCAACCTATGGAGCTCAGATGAGGGCACTGGATCTCCCGAAGCTACAGTTATAGGTGGCTTGTTGTAAGCTGTGGGTTCTGGATCCTTGGACCTTTGGAAAAGTAGTGATCTTAACCACTGAGCCATCTCTCCAGCTCCTCTAACTAGCTTTTTATTTTTTTTTAAAGATTTATTTAGGCATGTATTTTATCTATATGGATGTTTTGTCTGCATGTATGCACACTACAAGAGGGTATTGCCAGAGGTGGTTGTGAGCTGCCATGTAGATGCAGGAATCGAACTTGGGACCTGTGCAAGAGCAGCCAGTGCTCTTAAACCTCTGAGCCACCTCTCCAGCTCCTACAACTAGCTTTTTAAAAGTAAAACAAAAGCATGGGAACAAAGATCATGTCCTCTGATGAAAACCAAATAAGAAAGGGGAATTGTAATATAAAGTTCTGGCCAAAAGAATTAAGCTGGTACCAGGAGGTCACTGTCAGAAGAAATGTCTACAAATGAGTCCAGACAGAGGAAGGATGCCCCCTCCCGCAACTAGTTTTAAGTCATACAAATATACAGCAAACTCAAAGTGGTTTTCTTTTTTGGTTTTTTCGAGACAGGGTTTCTCTGTGTAGCCCTGGTTGTCCTGGAACTCACTCTGTAGACCAGGCTGGCCTTGAACTCTCGAACTCAGAGATCTGCCTGCCTCTGCCTCCCAAGTGCTGGGATTAAAGGTGTGTGCCGCTATCCGGCTCAAGAAACTCAAAAGTTTAAAGACCGCTCGCTCCAGTCGCCAAGGTACACAAATCTACACTAAAACAAAACCAGAAAAGGACCCGTCTCCGGCCTTTGCAGGCACGTACATCAGTGCACCCCCTTCCGCAGGCAGCAAACAGGAGGCGAGGATTCCTCCCAAGGAATGTAACCGGAAAGCATGTCCCAAGTGGGAGGAGTTACGAGCCAGAGCTAGACCCCCCCCCCCGAACCAAGAAGTGTCCCTTGTCCCCTGGAGGGATATGCCAAGAGAGATTTCAGGTGTGCTGGAACCAGTCATAGCTGGTTCTCATCCCTGCCTCCCAAGAACAGGATTACTGCCAATGCCGGGGCTCAGTGTGTCTGTCATGGCGTATCAGAGTGAGACTTATCCTTTTCTGACCCGAGGAGCTCAGTCAAGCCTCATCTCTGGGTCTGTGCCTGAGACTTATGGGGGTCCTGGATATGGTATAAATGTCAGAGCTGAGTCTGATGGTGGGGACAGAGGTAGACCGTGACTTTTCACGTGAATGGCTCCAAATCTTCACCCCTCTCATGCCCCTGGCTTTTGTCATGTAACCTGGTGGTGGCCTGCCCCATGGCTAAGCTCAGTTCCATCCATGACACCTGTGACTTGCTTTAGGTGCCAACGTGTTGCTTCATTGGGCTTCCACACTGGGCTTGCTTGCTGGTTCCTCTGTGGTGATCTTGATGAACCCAAGCCTGGGCCAGCCACAGGCCTGGGGAGGAGGATCAGAAACAGATGGAGCACAGCCTGGTCACCCCAGCTGAGACCAGCACACATCTGCCAAACCCACAATCCAGCTGCTCCCCAGCAGAGGTAGGCAGACACCGAGCCTTCTCATGTGTGGCTAATCTGAGCCAACATCAACAGTAACTCTGCTGACCTGAGGCACTTGAGTAATATCTGCTGTAATCCACCATGCAGACGTGGTTGTTACGAGGCATGGTGGTATCCTTTTTACGAGGCACGGCGGTATCCTTAGCTTACTGATACACAAGCCGGAAGAAGCTCTGTTATGTACTACGAGCTTCTGCCAGCTTTGCTGTTGTGTGTGTTTTGCAGAGCTGAGTACTCAGCCCAGGGTCTCTCACATGTACCAAGTGCCACCACAGAGTCACGTCCTCAGCCCTTGCTGTATGCTTTGCGATCAAAGCGCGCTATTCTGAATGTGCTGGCGCATCACCTAAAAATGACTGAACTGACTGTACCGCGGACGATTATTAACAGCCCCGTTGTTTGTATCTATTTCACCGACTATAGTCCCTCAACCCCACACGTAACAGTTACATAAAAACACACAGATATCTATCAACTCGACAACGGCTACAGCGTCACGGGGATAGCGCGGTAGGGAAGAGGATGGACGACCGCCTCAGCGCCTTTAAAACTGTTTCTTTGAGACAGGGTCTCGGGGAGCCCAGGCTGGCCTTGCGCTCCTGATCCTCCTGCCTTCGCCTCTTGAGCCAGGCTCTTGCCACCGCGCCTGGTTTACGTGGCGCTGGGGACTGAACTCAGGGCTTTTCGAATGCTACGTAACTATTCCACCAATGGAACCACATCCCCAGCCCCTGAATTAAAAATGGCAACAACCGTGATTTTTTTTTAAAATGTTGTTTTTAGAGACAGGGTTTCCTTACAGCCCAGGCTGGCCTTGAACTTGATATGTAGCTAAGGCTGATCCTCCTGCTTCCATCTCTCAAGGGCTGACAGTACAGGTTGACCACGCCTGGTTTATGTGGTACTGGGGATGGCACCCCCCAGGGCTTTGCACTGCCAAGGCAGTCACACCTCCGGGCCATGAATTAAAAATAATAATTTATAAAAATCATAGTTTTAAAAAAGGAGACCAGGCATTCACAGATCCCCCGTGAACACTCCCGATCCTCTGGCCTCCACCTCTCCAGTGTTGCGATTACAGATGTGTGCCTTTAAAGTGGTGCTGAGGATGCGGCCCTGTGCATGCTGGGTAAGTGCTCTACCCACCAGGCCACAGCCCCAGCTCCTCCCCCTCTGCCCCCTGGCAGGCAGGTGCCCGCGGGAGGCGCAGCGCTGCTTACCTGTGTGCGAGCGCAGGTGCACGGTGAGCTGGCTGGAGTTGCGGCTGGCGTAGGGACAGATCTGGCACTTGAAGGGTCGCTCGTCCGAGTGGATGCGCAGGTGTTTGTTGAGGCTGCTGCTGTCGGCTGCCGCGTAGTCGCACGTCTTGCACTTGTAGGGCTTGACGCCCGTGTGGCAGCGCATGTGCGTCTTCAGCTTGTCCTTCCGGCTGAAGCACTTCCCGCACACCTCGCACTTGTGGGGTTTGTCACCTTTGGGTGCACGCGCGAGCCGCGGCGGGGGAAACAAGATTGACAAGTTAATGTTTGCTTCCCTACACCTTAGCAGAGGACCAACCTGCAGGCCCCAGGGGTTGTTTAGAGAACTCACAGGCGCAGGCACGGTGGCTACACTCGCTACATTGCATTAGAATTTTCAAACTTTTTTTCCTAAGACGAATATGAATCCCTTATTAATTAAAAATACACAGCAACTTAATAAATAAACAAAAACATGTTGTTGTTTCCAGACGGATCCTGTAGCTCAGGGTAGCCTCAAACTTGTTATGTAACCCAGGTTGGCCCTAACTTCCCTGCCTCCAGTTCCGGAGCGCTGCTGTTAGAAGCAGGCCTCATTACCCGAGGCTTTAAAGTAAGAATGTTGCAGGATTACTTCTGTCCCCAATACTCGGTGTTCCCTAAACCTTAGCAGGTCTGGTATAAATGTTCTGTCCACCTGTCTCAACTTCATTTTTTAGATTTTAGTTATTGTCCCCCCCTCCCTTTAAGACAGGGTCTCACCATGTAACCCTGGCTGGCCGGGAACTTGCTACGTAGCCCAGACTGGCCTGGAACTCACAGAAATTTGCCTCCCTCTGCTTCCCAAGTGCTGGGATTAAATACGTGCACCCACAATACCTGACCGTTTTTAACTGCATATTTTGATATTTAAACTTTCCCACACTAAAGTACTATTTAATGTTACACACACACACACACACACACACACACACTGAAGGACATTAATGTAATGAGAAACTACCATCTTTTCTACTCATTCCCTTTTCAGAGCTCCGAGCCACAGTGGCCTGCCTTCCTCAGCCGTCTGATCCGTCTGTGCAGTTATGTGACAGACACACAGCCATCTTGCCTAGGTGCTGTTTAGGTTTCTGTAACAGCAGCTTAAAAAATCTAACACATCAATCCTTTAGCTTATGGCTATGACCTGTAGCGTCCCTATTTAGTGTGCGTGTGTGTGTGTGTGTGTGTGTGAGAGAGAGAGAGAGAGAGAGAGCAAGAGAGAGAAACAGAGAGAGATTTCTGTGTGGGTATGTGCATGCCAGGGAATGTGTGGAGGTCAGAGGGCAACTCGCAGAAGTTGGTTCTTTCCCTCACCAGTGTGAGTCTTGGAACCACATGTCTTCAGGCTTGTCAGGAAGCCCCACTAGGACATCTCACCAGCCCAGTGCAGTAGGTGTGTGTGTTGTTAGAGAAGGGGCTAGGGTCTTGAGATTGCTAGGCAAGTGTTTTATAACTGGGCTACAGCCCCGCCTCCTTTTAATTGAGTAACTTTTGTATATGGGCTCATTTTTTGTCTAGTACAAAAATCTCTGCCACTTTATGTCTTTTTATTTTTCTGAGACAGTCTCATGAATCCCAGCATGGCTTTGAACTTGCTAAGAAGCCAAAAATGATCCTGAACGTCTGATAGTCCCGCTTCTATCTCCAGGGCGTTGGGAATTCGGGCGTGGACCATCAAGTCCCATTGGTGCCTTTCTAAGGATGGAAGCCAGAACTTCCTGCGTGTTAGGCTAGCGATGCACCGCCTGAGCCACGCCCCCAAGCCACGCCCCCAGCCCCTCACATTGATTTAGACACTTCACTCTGCCGATGTCCTATCTGAGGGTTGTTTTGTTTCATCCTCTTTACAAAGCTGGCACTAGGGCACTGGAGAGAAGGCTCAGAGGTTAAAAGCACTGGCTGCTCTTCTAGAAGGTACTGAATTCAATTCCCAGCAACCACATGGTGGCTCACAGCTATAATGAGATCTGGCGCCCTCTCCTGGCCTGCGTGCATACATGCAGGCAGAACGCTGTATACATAATAAATAAATAATAAATCTTAAACCAAAATAAGTCTGGGACTAGAATCCAGAACTCTCCTGCTTTTCCAGCAGGTTCTACACCACTCCCTGTTTACTTCATTTTATATGTTATTTCTATCTCTTCCACATCATTAAACAGCTAAGGTTGAGCGGTTTCACTTTATGGACGAGCCATAAAAGACTGAATCAATTTCCCAGCTGAACAGTAAAAAGAATGAAGCAGAGAGAGATACACAACAGCACAATGACACGCAGTCTTAGGATGAGATGGCTCTAAGGGTTAAAGACGCCTGCCATCAGAGCTGAAGATCCGAGTCCAATTCCTGGGACCCACATGTGGCAGGAAAGAAAGGACCATGGTAGTTGACCTCAGACCTTCACAAGGACACAATGGTGTTCATGTGAGCATGCATGGATGCGCGAGAGCGCACACACACGCACACACACACACACACACACACACACACACTAAAGATAATCTTAAATAGGAAGATGAACACCTTGTGTACTTAGTAAGAGATGATAAAATTGTATTCCTGGAGCTGGACGTAGTGGCCTTTAATCCCAGCATTTGGAAGGTGCAGGCTGGGAGATTTCTGTGAGTATGAGGCCAGCCTGGTCTACACAATTCTAGGACAGCCAGAGCTATATAGTGAGACTCAAAAAAAAAAAAAAGTCTGTCTTAGGGCTTATATCTGCATGGAATGCTGCATGGCGGGCCATCGTGACTTTGAGGTGTTATATAGAGGACTTACACTCCTATTCTGTATTCTGCCCTTTCCCCCCTTTCTCCCCCAAGACAGGATCTCTTTATATAGCCCTGGCTATCCTGGAACTCACTCTGTAGACCAGGCCAGCCTTCAACTCACAGAGATCCACCTGTCTCTGCCTCCCGAGTGCTGGAATTAAAGGCATGAGTCACCAAGCCTAGCCTTCCTTTTTTTTTTTTGAGGTCGTGTCTCATGTAACTTAGGTTGGTTTTGAACTTGTTACCTAGCTAAGGTTGGCCTTGAACTCCTGATCCTTCTGCTTCAGTCTCCTGAGTGCTGGGATTATAGCTGTGGGTCACCACTCCAGTGAGATTTTCACTTTACACTCTGTAGGTCAAGTACGCACAGGGCCTTGCTCTAACATATGGTCAGCCAAAGCTGATCACTATCATGTGAGAGTAAGGTTAGGCATTTAAGAATACATCTTGGGGGCTGGAGAGATGGCTCAGCAGTTAAGAGCACTGACTGCTCTTCCAGAGGTCCCGAGTTCAATTCCCAGCAACCACATGGTGGCTCACAATCATTTGTAATGGGATCTGATGCTCTCTTCTGTGTGTCTGAAGACAGCTACAATGTACTCACATACATATAATAAATAATTCTTTAAATCTATCTATCTATCTGTCTATCTATCTATCTATCTATCTATCTATCTATCTACCTATCTATCTATCTATCTATCTATCTATCTATCTGACAGAGGCAGACAGATATCTCTGTCTCAGATAGTCTCTCTAGTTTGAGACTAGCCTGGTCTTGTACACAGCAAGTTCCAGGACAGCCAGGGCTACAGAGAAACCCTGTCACAAAAAAGCCAAACCAAACAAGAAACCCAAGAATACATCTTTTTCTTTTTTTTTGAGCTGGGGACATAACTCAGCGGGTAGAGCACTTGTGGGTTTGACCCTCAACATTGCAAAGATAAAATCATTATAGTGAAATTGTTAGCAGTCAGATTACAAACTCCTGGATGGGCCATCTCTCAGCACCATCCGGTGCCCGGGGTTCCCAGTGCCCACTGGACTGTCAGTTTGCACCCACTAGTGTTTCCTGCTGATGCTGCCTTGGCTGGTTTTGAGTGGCTCCGCTGGGCAGGAACCACATGGGTCCCTCCCACCCACCAACCCCTCCTTAAAGTCATCAGTAAGGACACCCTCAGGCCGACGGTCCCACTGTCTTCAGAAGACGTATAGAAGATATCTAAGATGTCGTACCATGTGAGGGATCACCTTCACTGTCAACTTAGAGGAAACTAGGAGGTACACCTCTAGCCTGTCATGTATAGAAGAACAGTTTAACTGAGAGGGAAGACCCTGACTAAGCATGGCGCCATCTGAGGAGGTGGGGTCCTGACCTAAATAAAAAGGAGAAAGCAAACTGAGCACCAGCATTCATTGCTCTCCGCTTCCTGACTACAGATGTGGTGTGACCAGATGACCCACGCTCCTGCCACCATGGGCTGTACCCTCAAGCCATGAGTCCAAACAAATCTACCTTCCCTCCCTCCCTCCCCCTCTTGTCCTTCCTTCCTTCCTTCCTTCCTTCCTTCCTTCCTTCCTTCCTTCCTTCCTTCCTTCCTTCCTTCCTTCC